ACATTAGCTGGGCATGGTGGCGCATGCCTGTAATCCCAGCTACTCAGGAGGCTGAGGCAGGAGAATTGCCTGAACCCAGGAGGTGGAGGTTGCGGTGAGCTGAGATCACACCATTGCACTCCAGCCTGGGTAACAAGAGTGAAACTCCATCTCAAAAAAAAAAAAAAAAAATCACCAGACTTTATCACCACACATACAGGTGGACAAACCCAGACACAGACACACAAACTTACAAACCCTCAATGATTAAAGACCCAGAGACACCAACAGCCCAAGCCCTCTGCAATGTTCCCCAGCTTGCTTTCCCTCCTGAGGACTAACCACCATCTGACACATCATGTAATTTTGTTTGTATCTCACTTCTTGTCTCCTAGAATGTCAGCTTCAAGGAAACACTATTAGCTCAGGTTTGCTCACTATGAAACCTACAAAAGAACTTGTTACATACAAGAGTTTAATACACATTGAATTGCTGGAGATCTCTGACTCTCTCTCTCTCTCTCTCTCTCTCTGTCACACACACACACATACACACACACACACACACACACACACACACACAGCCTCATTATAGGGCTACATCCACTTGCTCTTAAGAGTGAATTGTTCTCACCTCCATCCCATGTGGCAGAAAAAGTATATAAGCATTGCAAAACAAATTTTAAAATAAGTTTTAAAATATAAATATTGTGTAAGTATATAATTATACAAACCTTGCAATGTTCTTCTAAGTTTAAAGTTCTTGGCTGGGCATGGTGGCTCACGCCTGTAATCCCAGCATTTTAGGAGGCTGAGGCAGATGGATCACTTGAGCTCAAGAGTTTGAGACCAGCCTGGGCAACATGGCAAAACCCCATCTCTACAAAAAAAAGAACAAAAAAAAGTCAGGTGTGCTGGAGTGCACCTGTGGTCCCAGCTATTTGGGAGGCTGAAGTGGGAGGATCGCTTGAGCCCAGGAGTGGAGGTTGCAATTGAGCCAAGATTGCACTACTGTATTCCAGCCTGGGTGACAGAGCAAGACCCTGTCTCAACAACAACAAAAACTTTTTGGGTAGTGCCCAGTACAGGTGGTGGCACACATTAGGACTTCAAAGCCCAGAGAGTCCATGATTCTGAGTTGCATGAGTTTGGGTAAGACCCTGTGCTCCGTGCTTAACTTTCTGCATTTGTAAGATGGGAGAAGTGATTGGTTGGGCAATCAAATGAGATACTCATCATTATGAAATCACAGTGCTAAGTGCTAACGTAAGTTATCACTGAAAAAATGGACAAAGATTTTGTTTTCTTTGGTCAAATTTAGTAAGACACAAATATTTTACTTTTTCTCCCTCGTCCCGAACATATGAATACCAAATTGAGATCTGGGGGCTTTCTGGATCATTGAAACAAAAAGATTCAAACTACTCCTCTTATAAGGCATTAAATTTTTCCTTATATGATGACACCAGATATTCTTCCTTTCCACTAAATTAGGCTGTTAAGCAAAATTATTCCCTGTCTGCAACTCACCTCCATTATTCCTTGAAAATTGCCTTCAGATCCACAGATCTTTTGGGTGGTACATATTGGGTCTCTCAGTCTGCACAACAGCAAAATGATCATGCCAAATATCCAAGGCAATTTAAGAATCTTTAAATGACATTAAACAGACACGTAAACATCACCAACACCTGTGGCCCAAATCAATAGGAAATCTCAAATCCAAAATACTCATGTCCAAACTCATGATTACACTTCACATGTCTCAAAATTTTTATCCATTATAAAAATAAAGATGAACCATATCTATGCCTTTGTTTATGGGGAATCCTTACTGTTCATCCCAGGGATGTAGGACTGTATTGTTGCCCAGTATACATCAAACCTGAGCAGCTCCTGAGTGTTTAAGATAAGTTAGATAATGGAAACAGAAATGATCAATGACAACATTCTCACTCATGGAGGTCCCTCCCTACCTTCCAAAGCTAAGGTTTCAAACCAACACAACCATAGCTTCTCTATTATAATCTCACAAGTTGGTTGTTATTTCATTTCCTTCAAAGATCTTTTTTTTTTTTTTTTTTTTTTTTTTTTTTGAGATGGAGTCTCTCTCGCTCTGTCACCCAGGCTGGAGTGCAATGGCACAATCTCTGCTCACTGCAACCCCTGCTTCCCGGGATCAAGTGATTCTCCTGCCTAAGCCTCCCGAGTAGTTGGGATTACAGGCACCCACCACCATGCCCAGCTAATTTTTGTATTTTTAGTAGAGACATAGTTTCGCATGTTGGTCAGGCTGGTCTCGACCTCCTGATCTCAAGTGATCTGCCCATCTCAGCTTTCCAAAGTGCTGGGATTACAGGTGTGAACCACCGCGCCCAGCCCTTCCTTCAAAGATCTTAAATGCATCTTAAAAACGAAACCCTTACCTTTTGTTAACCGTCTCTCTTTTCCCATAACTATAAGCATCAGAAAGGCAAGAACTTGTTTCATGTTTCTATATCTGTAGCCTAGAATCTTTATCATTTGTGCTGAACTGTCCATGTTTTGATACTACAATGCCAGGTCTATGAGAGCTGTTAAAAAAAATTAGCATGAAGAGCAAGATGGCTTGATTTAACAGTGATTCTGTCTTTGCACCTTGCTAGGTTTGTGGTCTCTGAAAACATCTACACTTAACAGGACTCTGCTAGTACACAAAGGAGGAAAAGAAAGTACTATATAGTTTGCTAAAGACTAAGTGAACTTACATATTTTAACTGAGATATTTTGTGGAAAACATTCACCAATACACCATAAGAAATATTTCTATGCTTAGATAATAAGAAAGGTTAAGACCAATTCCACAGGACTAGGATCTGACCTCACACTCAGGTAAAGCCAAGTCTTATCCTGTTGAAAAGAAAAATGTCATACTTCCTTCATCAGACAAAGCTATTCAGCAACCATGATGGATCAAAACAAAAACAAGGGCATTCTGTAACCATGTCTCGAAAAACGATAAAAGAGAACAGAGTTGAAGCCATTAAAATGACCAAAATTGCCCTCTACTCACTAATCCAAGTGAGTGGTTTCCTGGGAATTAGGTTTAGCTCTACTTCATTCTTCCTGCCTCTATATAAGAATTATGATTACCAGTGATACAATTAAGTTCACCTCACAGCATACAACACACAGAAGTGTCTCAGTTTGGGGATTAGCAATCAAGTCACCTAACAAAAATCCAAATCCAAAAAGAAGTCCTTTTAAGCACCCTCTTTTTTTTTTTTTTTTTTTCTTGAGATGGAGTCTTGCTCTGTCACCCGGGCTGGAGTGCAGTGGTGTGACCTTGGCTCACAGCAACCTCTGCCTCCAGAGTTCAAGCAATTCTCCGGCTCAGCCTCCTGAGTAGCTGGGATTATAGGAGCACACCACCATGCCAAGCTAATTTTTGTACTTTTAGTAGAGACAGGGTTTTACCATGTTGGTCAGGCTGGTCTGAAACTCCTGACCTCATGATCTGCCCACTTAGGCCTCCTAAAGTGCTGGGATTACAGGCATGAGCCACCATGCCCAGCCATCACTCCTCTCCTGACTACAGGTGTGATCCCAGTGATCTTTGGAAAAAAGGCACTGAAACAACCATGATTTAAGTTTTTGGTATTATTAATGCATGAGAAATTGGTTTTGTGGGAAAAAGTAATAACTATATTAAGAATAAAAAATTAAAAATTCCTAGCCAGGGGCAGTGGCTAACACCTATAATCCCAGCACTCTGGGAGGCCAAGGCAGGTGGATCACAAGGTCAAGAGATCAACATCATCCTGGTCAACATGGTGAAACCCCATCTCTACTAAAAATATAAAAATTAGCTGGATATGGTGGCACATGCCTGTAGTCCCAGCTACTTGGGAAGCTGAGGCAGGAGAATCACTTGAACCCAAGAGGCAGAGGTTACAGTGAGCTGAGATTGTACTACTGCACTCTAGCCTGGTGACAGAGTAAGACTCTTGTCTCATAAAAATTTTTTTTAATTCCTAAGGATGCACTGGTACAGTGGCGAAAAATAAAAAATAAAAAATAAATTCCTAAGGAAAATACTTGACCTTATATGCAAATAATATTGACTCAGAATATATGAGGATTCACTTAATAAACTTAAAAACTTAATCTGAAAATCTATAATGGCAATGGAATATTTTAATATATCTTTGTACAAAGTGAAAGAGACAACAATTGATAGCATACAAGTTATTTTAAAACAGTTAATAAAATATTTCTAAGAAATATCTATGGAAGCTTTTGTTCAATAAAAACGGACATAGTTTTTAATCACATTCAATGAAACAAAACTGAAAGTATAATGAGATTACATTCACCTGTAATAAAACACTGACAATTCGGAAGGTGCTTATTCTTGCGCTGTAGGACTGGGTAAGTCCATTCACTGCACAGTGCAGTAGAGGGACAAACACCCAAGCAGTTCTTCTTGACTGCATCATTGTAGTTGTCATGGTGGAATCAGAAACACAGTCACTGGTACTGTTAACAAAACATGGTGTTTACGTAAATAATACCTTCGATAAATTCAACCTAGAGATGAGGTGAGTCAGAGCATCAGAGAATATTCCCAACCTTAAGAGTCTTTAAATAGTTGCCTGGTGGACACATTAGAGTTTCTAGGAAAATCTAAACTGCAGTGCATATCTGATAACTTTTGGAGGCATTCTGTGGAAAACCATATCTTTGAAAATATGGCAGTTGGGGCCAGGCACAGTGGCTCACGCCTGTAATCCCAGCCTTTTAGGAGGCGAAGGTGGGCGGATCACGAGGTCAGGAGTTTGAGACCAGCCAGGCCAACATGGTGAAACCCTGTATTTACTAAATACAAAAAAATTTAGCTGGGCGTGGTGGCAGGTGCCTATAATCCCAGCTACTTGGAAGGAGGCAGGACAATTGCTTGAACCTGGGAGGCAGAGGTTGCAGTGAGCCAAGATCGTGCCACTGCACCCCGGCCTAGGCAACAGAGCAAGACTCCATCTCAGAAAAAAAAAAGAAAGAAAGAAAGAAAGAAAATACGGCAGTCAAGCAGTTAGTGGTGGTTCTAAGAATACTCTCAATTAGCAGGGCAAAGGATCAGGAAAATGTGGTGGAAGCAGGTGTCCCTGAAGCTCCCATGCATCCATCTGTCTCCACATACAGTGGCTATAAAACCTGACTAATGCTTTCTTTACTTCTGCCTTCCATATCTCCTGCAAGTAGGCTATTAGTGAATTATACCGTGGAGCCATAAAAGGAAATAGAAAACATAGGTCAAAACATTACCCATGTTAACACAATCTAGGACAGCCATTTCCAGCTATAGGTTATATGGTTCCATCTCAGGTCTATCTTATTACTGCAAAGTCTATTATCCAAATCACAGCTAGAAGGAATTACAAATAGCAAAGAACAGAAGATGAAAATAATAATTCCAATGAGAGTCTACTATATGATAAATTTTGCATACTCAAAAATTTATTATGATTGTTTCTTATCATGAAAAAATAGAAAAAAGGATACTCTGCCCTCCTCTAAAAAAGCTTCATTTGGTCAGGAAAAAAGATGAAATACATATAATGATATCTAGTACCTGCCACATAAGGCCAGTAGGAAATCCTAAAGATTACCAAATTGTTATTTTTTGATGGCCCCTTACAGCACAACTAAAAATATATATATAAAAATCTACTAGCTTATTACAAATACACTTCAATTCACTCATGAATCTAACAGACTTCAATATGGAAAGACAAAATTTCAGCAACTCATTTAATGAAAAAATACTATCAATACAACCGTTTAAGAAGAGCTTACAGAATTATCTCATCTCAATGTTCTTTTGTGAAAGCAATAAATAGAAATCCATAGTTCAGAGATCCACTTTCAGAATGAGTAACTGATAATACATTTATAAGTTTTATACCATTTCTGTCGTGTGAATTTTCTAGAACAATATACATGAATTAATTTGTATCAGGCTTTCCCATATTGTCTACATTTACATAATACCTCCCTATTGGGAGTTTCAATATGAGTTTGAAGTTTCACACATAAGGGAGTATTCACATGAGCATTTGTTAAAATTGAAAACATTGTTATTTCTCACTTTTATAGGATTTCTATCCAGTCTGCATTCTCACATATAAGTATGTGGGTCAACTGAAGGCTTTCTCATAATGCCTATATTCAAGAAGTCACTTTCCAGTACAAGTTTGTTCATGGTTTCCAAGTAAACTGAGACAAAGGTTTTCCACATCCTTTACATTTATAGGCTTTTCCAGGTTCTTTACATTTTTAGGTTATAAATTCTTTACGTTTATAGGGCATATGAAAATTCCTTACATTTCATATGCCTTCTCGTGGTCCTCAAATAGTCATATGACCATTGAAGGCTTTTCCACACTGCCTACATTCGCAGGGTTTTCTGTCCAGTATGAATGCTTCCCCATATTCACACCTAGAGAATTGAAGATATTCCCATGTCTTACATTCATTCATAGGGTTTCTCTGAAATATGAATAATTTCATGTCTTCAAAAGGAAATGGGGGCTGGGGGCGGTGGCTCACATCTGTAATCCCAACACTTTGGGAAGACGAGGTGGGTGGATCATCTGAGGTCAGGAGTTCGAGACCAGCCTGGCCAATGTGGCGAAACCCCATCTCTATTAAAAATACAAAAATCAGCTGGGCATGGTGGTTCACACCTGTAGTCCCAGCTACTCAGGAGGCTGAAGCAGGAGAATCGCCTGAACCCAGGAGGCAGAGGTTGCAGTATGCTGAGATCACACTACTGCACTCCATCAGGGCACCAGAGTGAGACTTCATCTCAACAACAAAAAGGAAATGGGACAACTGAAAACTTTGCCACACTGCTTACATACATAGGCTTACTCTCCAGTATGAACTCTTTCATGTACTCGAAAGGAACGGGAACACTTGAAGGCTTTACCACATTGTTGACATGCATAGGGTTTCTCTCCAGTGTGAGTTCGTTCATGGATTCTAAAGGAACGCGAGCAACTGAAGGCTTTATCACACTGTTTACATTCATAAGGTTTCACTCCAGTGTGTGTCCTTTCATGCATTCGAACAGAGCTAGAGCAACTGAAGGCCTTACCACATTGTTTACACTCATAAGGTTTCTCTCCAGTGTGAGTCCTTTCATGTATTCTAATGGAACTGGAACAACTAAATGCCTTACCACACTGTTTACATTCATAGGGTTTCTCTCCAGTGTGAGTCCTTTCATGCATTCTAAAGGAACTGGAACAACTGAAGGCTTTACCGCACTGTTTACATTCATACGGTTTCTCTCCAGTGTGAGTCCTTTCATGCATCCGAAAGGAACTGGAAAAACTAAAGGCTTTACCACACTGTTTACATTCATAGGGTTTCTCTCCAGTGTGAATTCTTTCATGCATTCGAAAAGAACTGGAACAACTGAAGGCTTTACCACATTGCTTACATTCATAGGGTTTCTCTCCAGTGTGAGTCCTTTCATGTATTCGAACAGAACTGGAACAGCTGAAGGCTTTACCACATTGTTTACATTCATGGGGTTTCTCTCCAGTGTGAGTCCTTTCATGCATTCTAAAGGAACTGGAACAACTGAAGGCTTTACCACACTGTTTACATTCATAGGGTTTCTCTCCAGTGTGAGTTCGTTCATGGATTTGAAATGAACTAGGACAATCAAAGGCTTTTCCACATTCCTTACATTTATAAGGTCCATTTCCAGTGTGCATTATCATATGTCTTCGATAGCTTGGAAGAGAAATGAATGCTTTCCCACATTCTTTACAATCATAGGGTTTCTCTCCTGTATGAATTCTTTCATGTTTTCGAAAGGAACTAGGAAAACTGAAGGCTTTGCCACATTTTTTACATTTATAGGGTTTTTCTCCAGTGTGAATCCTTTCATGACTTCGAAAGGATGTGGGACAACTAAGAGCTTTACCACATTGCTTACATTGATAGGGTTTTTCCCCAGTGTGAGTCCTTTCATGTATTTGAAAAGTCTGGTAATATCTGAAAGCTTTTCCACATTGTTTACATTCATAGGGTTTCTCTCCCGAGTGAGTTCTTTCATGGTTTCGAAATGAACTGGGATGACTGAAAGTTTTCCCACATTCTTTACACTTATAGGGTTTCTCTCCTGTGTGCATTCTCATGTGTCCTCGAAAGGTTGTGTGATAAATGAAGGCTTTCCCACATTCCTTACATTCATAAGGTTTCTCTCCAGTATGAGTTCTTTCATGTATTTGAAAGGAACTGGGCCAACTGAAAGCCTTGCCACACTGCTTACATTTATAGGGTTTCTCTCCGGTGTGAGTTCTTTCATGTATTCGAAATGAACTTCGAAAGCTGAATCTTTTCCCACATTCCTTACATTCATATGATTTCTCTCCATATTTTTGATACTCATATGATCTATGTTCACTGTGAGATCTCATGTGCCTATTAAGAGATGAATGACACATATAGTCTTTTCCACACACACTGCATTCATATGGTTTTACTCTAGTAAAAGTTTTCCTGTTTGTTTTAGGATTTGGAGTCTGACTGATGGCTTCTCCAAGCTGATTACCTTCTTTGCTTTCACAGAGCCTCTCTACCATATGACTTCTATAAAAAAATAAGCACACAATTAGGGTCTTTTTAAAAATAATAATTTTATAATCATGATTTCACCATCATTAATAGGTAGTAGAATTATACTTTGTCATTTTTTTTTTTAAAGATGAGGTTTCACCATGATGGCCAGGCTGGTTTTGAACTCATGACCTCAGGTGATCCACCCACCTCAGCCTCCCAAAGTGCTAGGATTATAGGCGTGAGCCACCATGCCCAACTTACTTTTGCCATTTTCAGGGGAGTGTATGTAATGAATGTTCAGAAAGAGTACTTGACCAGAGCTATTATCAAAACAATAAAACTCATAATACAGAGTTACTTTTTTTTTTTTTTTTTT